TATCTCCTATCCAGAAAACGCGCATTCTTGGTGGAGTTGATTGAGTACTGCCATTGCCGACTAATTCCCACAAAAACTATCAACAACATTAAATATGCTAATTATACCTAAACAACCAAAAATCAAATATTATGGTCAATCGAAATTTAGAAAACTGTAGTATATTCCAAAAACTAGAACCCATTTGGGTTGATTTTGTAGTTATGATATTGTACTCGATTGCTAAACTCATCTATTTGAGAGAAACTTTGATTCCCTCTGAAACTTATTGACCTGCAAACGTAGGCTATTCACACTTTTAATTCATAATGAGTGTATAGCACCCGTCCTATAGTGACGTATTCGTAGGTTCATGTTCGCTACAGCATCAGCAATGGGTGAAGAAGCTAGCTGGAACACACGGGCTAAACTACAACACAACTGGCGTGAAGCTGCGAAACGCAATGCGCAATATAATGTGACCATATTCCAGGTAAGCCACTATTACTAGCTTTTCCCTAACTAATAATTAATTCAAATGCATTTCTTGTTAAAGACGTATTCGTTCTACATTGACCAACTCGACTCAATCGGTGGCAATACTCTATCCACTGTGATTGTAGCTGCTATAACAATGGATTTGGCATGTTTCCTTATGATACCCAGTGCCAGCTCCATAATTTCAAGGTATAAATTTCCCACACATTATGAAGAGCTCGAACACAACACTGCTAATTAAACTTATGCAACTGCCTCCGGTTGCACAGATCTTGAAAATAATTCTCCCTGTGTAACGTTCTATTGCTCTTCAGGTGTTAGATGAGAAGAAAGGATACTATACGTTGTATCTAATTATGAGGTTGACGAGATGATAATAAAACCCAATTGTTACGGCTATGAAGGTTAATTCAAATCAGAACATTCTTATCAGTAGACTTTAAAATCGTGAACGTTTTTAAATCTCTGCCAAATCCGAGTTCTTGGAGGAGAAAGTTCGTCGGGTTCTGTTATGTTATGGGTTTTATTCCAAACTCTTTTACCGTGTGTAAGCTAATCTGTTATTCTGCCCCAACCACGAATAATGCGCGCATATGCTTGCTGCTCACTTTAATAGAAAATTTGATAAGCATGGTTGTATTCCTCGTATTCCAACTTTGGCAATAATTTCGCTTGAAAACTGAGTAATAATTCTTTTTATTTAAATTCGGTTTTTCCTTTTGTCTTAGGTACCTGGTATGACAATGCACCCTAAGACATCATATGATTCATCTTTTTCACTGATTTCTGAGAATATCGTATAGCACCTAAGCAAAAAGAACAAGCCGATGTACGAAGGCTAACACGAGTCAAATCTCTCGCCTCGTTTTAACAATATGAACAATATTTTTTGTTTTCAATTAAAATCTTTGCATGCCGGTCGCTAATTTGGGTTTTATCA